AAAATATATAATTACTATGTTTTACTGATGAACACATTTATGAGAGCTGATGTCTCTGTTAATCCTTCTTATGTTAGAAATTAAAAAAATAAACAACAGACATAATGTTGCAAAAACAAACATAAAATTAAAATAGCTGTTTCTTGCCCACAGACGATGAAGATGGTATGGACTGCGTGGACAATGAGAGGCGGCCGCACTTCCCTCAGTTTTCCTATTCTGCAAGCGGACGAGAATAAGCCTTTCATTCTGCTACTTCACTGTCATCCTAGATGTATCACTGACAATGATTCCCGGACCTCCCCACCGTCCTCGCTCTTACAGGCAGCAGGGCACCTTCTGACATCCCAGACAGCCCAGGGTCTCCGCCCCTCGCCACCTTTCACCCCCATGAGAACACACGTACACAGACACACTCCCATTTTTGTTTTTTGCATGAAATTGTATCTCAGTCTAAGGTCTCTGCTGTTGCTGCTACTGTCTTACTATTAGAGCAACTTTAAGGAATAATTTTATAATCTGTGGAAGTCCCGAGCCCACTGTTGTTCATCTGTGCACAAATTGTCATCTTGATCTTTCGTTTTCGTTTTTCCCTAACAGTGAAGGCTAAATGAGATACACTGATTCTAGGTACATTTTTTAACTTTCTAGCAGATAAATCAAAAACTAATTAGACTAAGAAGATTTAGTTTCTATTTCCAAACAAGCAGTTGTGAAGGGTGGTGATGTGCATATGCACAAGCTTAGCGAAGCAACTCTGACCAGCGCATACAAGTAAGGGTATGTCGCTAGGCTTTAGCTGGAGTTCACTAGCAAGCGTTTGAGAGGACTGAACAACTGGTAAGATGCACACGCATTTTTCATTTCTTTCGGATACTGCGAAGGAAGCCCAGTATCACGTGTGGACGTCCAGATCTCACAGGCAATCACGGGCAAGTGAACGTTGTTCTACGAGAGCGAAGGCACATACACAGACTCCCAGTCACCTAAAGGGTCTAGCGTACACTCTGCGCCAGAGAGCATCTTTCCCTGCGCCTGGCAACCTTTTTCCCGTCTTGATATTTATCACCTCTGATGGCTGAAGAATGTAGACAGGTATAATGATCCTGCTTTCACCAAAATTGTACACCAAGGTAAACCAACAGGTGTTTGCCTTATTAGTTTTAATTTTGTACTTTTTCAGTTTTAGGTGATTAGCTTTTTCTCAGATGTTAAAACTTTGAATGTCCTTTTATGATTTTGTTTGTATTACAGTAGTATTTATTTTTTAGTGATGAAGAATTGTATGTCGTTAGCAAATGCAGCTCCAGCGTCCATGCAATAGACTCACTGCAGTTTCTTTTGACCCACGTGCAAGGAATGCACACACTGATGCGCATCACGCACTTGTCCTCCTGTGTAGAAATTTTTTTGATAAGCTTCTGAAATTGTGCACATTGATCAGAATTCGGCTTTGGGAGAAGAGATTCTGTCATTTAATCCCTTGATGCTGAAAATGAGAAAATCAACTATTGATGCCAAGGGGTTAGTGAAATAAAAGGCTGTTGCTACTTGTTCACTTGAGAATTAAAATATAGGATGACCTGGCAACGTAACAGAATGAAGAAAATTGAGGCCCGAATGATGTTGAGAAGTGAACTTTACTTGGCAAAATGAACACATTGCAAGCATTTATGAAGTAGTGAGTAGAAGAGAAAAGCCTGATGTGTTCATTCTGATCAAGGTACATTTATCACTGAACTAAGCCATCAGGGAAAACAAAACAGAAAGAACACCTCTAGCTTTGTTCTGTACATACTCATGTCTCCAGATCCCAACACTTCTCACTGAGCGGGGACATGGATGCAAACCTCATCTTTCTCCTTCATAATGATGATCTTCAGATTAAACCCTTTGGTGCTAGGAGCTGACACTTCCCAAAGCAGCCTATGATGTCCAAGGGGCAGGAGCCCTGCCTGTGGCGAGCCGGAGGCACAAGCTCCCTGGAACGACCACGGAGATGTATTCTAGTTAAACAGCTCCCAAACGAAGACTGCATCGCGACGTAGTGTCATGGTTGCTTTGTGAGAGAGCAAGTGACTTTCTGGTAGGGAATCATACCCATCTGCAGGTGTCTTAGCCTCCTGATGCTGGAAGTGTGGACGTAGAGCTCTGCAGACCACTGCTGGCGGTGGGTGGGCCGCTGGACTGGCGGGGGTTAAGGGCATTCTATTAAGGCAGCTAAGACATATTCAGACATAGATTTTGTCCTAGTTTTTCATATTTCTACCTGAGTGACTTTCATCCTTAGCATTCAGTAGGAAGTTACAGTAAATGGTAGTTCATTCTTACATCTTACAGATTAACTTTTTTTCACTTGGAATTATGTTGAATGTTTCACAGCGACAAAGTAGACTAGAGGGTGTGTCCTCTAAGTTGTCTTGCATCCATTTGCTAAGAAAGAAACAGGTGAGGGAAGAGAAGGCTGAGAGTGGCTCATGTTCAGAGCATTTGCTCCTTAAGAGGGAAAGCACGACACTGTACAGGAAGCACAGAGCTTTTGTTGTTTTGGTTCCCCTCCCTGATGCAGTCTGAAGGTGATTTCCGTGACTTGGCCAAGGATACTTCGGAAAGATTGATGATGGGCACCGGTAGTGCCCAGGCTGGCCACTCCTCACAGCCACACGCAGGGCTCAGTCGCCCTCTCTGAGGCCGTCAGTGTCACAGAAAGTGTGTTCTTGGCATCGATTGTGAGATTTCTTCCTGTCACTCCCAGTCATGTGGCGTGAAGGCGTGAGTGAGTGCAGAGGGTGTGCAGAGGCAGCTGTGCGGCTTCCCTATGTTGCCCATGGCTGTCGTTTCACATTCTGGCAGTAGGACAGCCAGAAACCTGGAATCTTCCTGTCCAAATCCAGTTCCCACTTTGCAGACTCCAGCTGTACTGTCATGAAGTCTGACCTCTGTCCCAAGGCAGCCGCCCTGGAGGCACTGACCGCTTCTGCGTGGGCTGCTGGCAAGGGCTGCTCACGGCTTCGCTTTCCACACCAACCACACAGCATTATTCCAGTCTGTTTTCCATTTCCCACACCTGATTCTGGCTTCTCAAAGCTGACTGTTCTTGTGGGGCCACTTGCTTCTTCTAGAGTACAAAAGTAAGGGCCTCCCTTACTAACTGCAGGGTCTATATACTACACCTCAGTGTACACACTTGCTGCTACCGTTTGTACCGTCCACACTAGACCTTCCTTATCTTGCTCCTGGTAGTGCATTACAGGCAAGCATGAAATGTAAAGTATTTATTTAAATAAAAACAAAACCTCTAAATTGGTAATTGAATTACCTCCCTGTAGCTTTATAGTTTGTGACATTTCTTGGCCTTGCTAGTTCTTTCATTAGATCCCTGAAAGATTTGGTCACCTGGGTAAGGATTTTAAGCAGACACAACTATGAAACCAAGAAACTGTATTACTGTTACTGTTGGTCATACTAAAACTGCTTCTGTCCTTAAGTATATGACCCACAAGGATGTGAAATAACTACAAGAAACTGTTTTTGTACACTGTACATCCTTAGTATTTTTACACGTATATGATAGGGATGCACATTATTTTCCTTCGTACAGACAGCTTAAATAAAGCACTATGTCAATCTGCTACTTCTCTGTTTGTTGTTGTTGGATGTGGTTCTGTAATCTCAGAAAATTAAATACTGTTCTGGAAAAAAAAAAAACTTTTTTAACAGCCCCACTTGGTATTAACCTTTCCAGAATAAGATGTGATAGCAAATATGTAAATTCTTCTTAGCCCGAAAACACATGGGGATATTTTTACTCCAGTAAAATGGCAATAGTGCAGTTATACAAACTTTGATGAAGGGCTACTTCCAAAGGGGAGACACTGGGCTCTCAGCTTTGGGATTAAGACAGATCTACTGTGAAGCCAAGGACGGAATAGGTCTGGACCCTGGGGATTCGCTTAGATCCCAGTCCTCCTCACAACAAATGGTTTGGAATTCTTGAGTGTAGCTCATCATTGATGTCTTCCTGCTAAGTTCAGCTCTGCATACTTCCTTCATAAGAGTGTATTTTTAACACTTTGTGGCAGTTAATGAACTTAGGGTTAGTGGATTGGTAGGGTGGCTGGTACAGTCTGATTTATGTGGACTCCTTCCGGATGGGGCCTTTTTCTGATTTTACCTCATAAAGCTACTGTTGTAGAACTTGGCTTTGCTCCTGTGACTCAGCCAGAGAGCAAATGGCTTTTGGGACCAGTCAGTCAGGCATCTGTGTACGTCACACAGCCAAATTTGGGGGCATTTGTACATGCGCTGTTCTCTCACAACCACTGGGGTTGAAGATCCAGGAGGCTGAAATAAAGTGACCTCTATAATTCTTTAAAGGTGCTATTTTTAGAATATTGTATAATTTATTCACAGTATACCTAAAACAGAATTAAGGACAGCTAAAATATCTCATGTGACCGCCTTTACGTCTGGCACATTGGTGGAAGCGGAAACTTCGGTGTGGAAGTGCTGCTGCCTCGGGCGGGGCGCCCAGCCCAGCCCAGACAGGACGGCCGTCTCGCGTGGCCGCCCGCCGCCCTCAGCCTCCCCGCTGGGCCCGCACGGCGCGTCCTGACCGCGCCTTTGGGGAGGGCAGGGCCAGGGCTGGCCCCAGCTGCACCACGGCTTTGGTGGCTCACGTTCCTCAGATAAAGCAAGCTTCCAGTGGCCATCTTTAGTCCTTTGAAGCATTTGAGGGCTTGACTGTGTATAGTAGAAATACTATTTTAGACTAAAATGATCTGTGTACAGGTGTTTGATATACTCTCTCAAGTAAATTTTCTTATGTCACGGAGTACATTTGTAGGCTCATGTACTGCTGTGGGGGAAAAATACTGACACCACTGAGCCAAAGATACTTTTTTTGTCTTTTTTGTTGTTGTTGTTCGCAGAATGGAAAGAACAGTGCTTCCTGGTGTCTCCTGAGTATGCACACAGTGTAGGATGACAAGTAGTGCGTGTTTGATTAAAGACAAAAGCGAAGGATGCTGGGTAGATCACAAGCAGGGAAAGAAAAGTGAACGGCGGGAAGAAAGTTTGGTCCTCGATTACGTACTTTGGCCTATTTAAAATATGTGCCTTTTTGGTGTGTTTTGTTCATCACTACTACAAGATAAGGAAACATTTTGATTCAAGTCCTTTAAAAGTTCATTTATTAAAATTCCTGTGTATAATCAAGCATAGAGATGAGTGTATCTCAAAACTGACTTAAAGCCATTTCTGAGAACATCCGCCAGCAGCTGTCCTCATCCGGGTCAGACTTCAGCTCTAGCCGTCCGCAGTGCAGGGACAGGAACCATGGCGAGAGGACCGGCCCCGTGCAGTCTGAGGTGGCGTCGCCCTGGGAAGGTCGTGGTATGTTGTGGCATATTACGTACAAATCAGATGAATGTAAATATCTTTGTAAAGCATTTATTTCACTGTTTCATCCAGGTCAGCAATCAGATTGTGGCATGCTGGGTAACTGGAAAAAATGATAATAAAAAGTAAGTTTAAATAGATCTTTGTTCTTTAATGTGATTTTTCTTCTCATTTGCTCATTAGTTACTTTTTATTACTAAATTTTGATGAAAAGGTGGTGGAAGATTCATATTTATGGTTGTATGCAAGGCCTCCCCTGGCCACAGTCGAAAGCCCACGCAGCCATCTGATCTGTCTCCAGGCGGAGATGCTGGCTCGTGCTTGGATGCGCTCACACCAACCAGACATTACAGGGTAAGAGGGGACACGGCAGGATGTAGGCCGAGGGCCCCTAAGAAACTTCCGGTGACACAAGACGAGCCAAAGTCAACTGTTGAACTGCACACAGTTTACTGTAGCAGAGGCACTTTCACACAGAGCCTCCCACCAGCTGGAGGAGGGTCCTGTGTTCTGCAGCCTCCTGGTGGATCCCACCGTGCACACGGGGTCCTGGGAAGAAACACGTGGGTCAGCAGTGACTGCACAGCATGCCAGTGGCCATGGCTGCTCACCTGGCCCGAGCCCCGCTTGAGGCAGGGTAGGGATGTACTCATGGTTCTCTGTGGCACAGCTCCACCTCTGCAGGGTGGGCCTTTCCTGTTCCGGTTTGCACTCAGGTAAATGGGAAGGCCGAGTAAGAGCACGCCTGGCCTGGTCATCCTGTACCCAGGACCTGTGCTCAGGAAAGGGTGGTGGACCTGTTGCTCCCCACAGCACTTCTGAGCTAGATGCAAGGAGGGCTTGTCTGCCCAGGTTCTGCCAGGATTACCTGTTAGGGAGTTCTAAGCTGGGACAGAGAATGAAACCAAAATCAGAATTCACCCGGGGCCGGGGAGATGGCTCAGTGGAATAAGTGCTTCCCTGGCAAGTGCAAGGACCTGAGTTCAATCCCCGGTTCCACAAAAAAAAAAAAAAAAGAATTCACCCAAGTGAAGTCTGGAACACTGTCTGCTGCCTCACTTCACATGTCAAGAGTGTGTGCGAGACCAGTGAGGGCTTTGCAGCAACTTGTGATTGGAAGGGTTTCCACCAGGGCAGTGGGGTCTCTCAGGGTTGGGAGGCTGCCACCAGGAGGCCACTGAGCCCGAACCCACAGTGTGTTGAACTGACCCAGTGTGGCTCTGCACAACAGCGACTGTGTGTCCCTCCCGCCAGTTCCCCAGTGGCCTGGCTGTCCCCATTCCCACCCTTAGGGAGGAGGAGGACACACACAGCTCACAGGGACCATACTTTAAAAGAAATACCAAGGGAATTTGGATAGAAAACAGCCACACACATGATAACAGAGGTAGACCGAAAATAAAAGCACAGTATGTTGCAAGCCTTTTGTTTCTTGTTTCTATTTTTTAATCTGAGTCCCGGGAAAGTGGCCTTGCCCAGGAGTTCACGGTGCCCCGCGGCCATGCGGTCCTCTCTCATCTGGCATCCCTTCCCCACCGGCTCTCAGCCAGCCCTGCGGAGATGGTCACCTCCAGCTCCTGGGCCCCTGTGGCATGGCACAGATGTGAGGTCCCTGGCATGTGCAAATGAAGTCTGACTTTTCTCCCTGGAGCCAAGCTGCTGTCCCCGTCCTCACTGGTGTCCTATCTGGTCTGGGTTTGGGGGAGCCTGCACTCATCCTCACAGCACATCGCTGCACCTCCTGCTCGCGCGCCTACCCATGGTAGGCTCCAGCGGGATCTGCCCCGCAGCCCTTTCCGTCCCAGCCGTGCTGAATGCCCCAGCTTGGCTGAAGCTTCCCCAGCATGCTCTCCGTGACCCCTCGCAACCTGCAGAGCAGCCTCGTGCAGAGGCAGAGGCGTGGGCAGGCTGAGGTTCTGCCATTGTTTCCTAGGGTATCAGAATGCGCGTGTCCAGCTGGCTCCGCCTTCCACGCCTATGACCACACTCTTGCTGCCCAAAGACACAAGTACATGTGCGGCGCGGGCGAACTGCAGTGTGAGCCCTCAGCCAACATCCCGGCCTGATGCCTTTCAACTTGTCACCAAGGCCCCTCTGCAGCTCTCTGGGGTGCTGAGTGCCCCTGGATGCTGTGGCAGCTGCTCTGTGAAATTGCCCGGACAACAGAGATGTACCCTGCCTGCCGGCCCCTAGTGCCCACTGGTCCCCTTGGTCCCACTTTAAAGCCTGAGCCTTCGCCACAAAACTGGACTCTTGTGCCAGTTTCTGAGATTGACTGAGTTTGGAGTTTAGTAAAGGAGTTGTTGCTCTGGGTGAGCAGAACTGTTCCCCAGCTGTGGGGTATGTTGGCCCGCGCTGCTGCTTGGTTGCAGAGGGCTGGAGGCAGGGGAGGTCCCAGGGTGGTGTGTCCCCCAGGCTCTGGCCACCAACTGTCCTTTGATTTCTCCTCATTATCATACCAGCCCTTAGCAGCCTCCCAAAGGCAGTGGGCCCCTCCTCTAGCAGCTATGATCTGACTGTGCGGCCATGACAGCTAAGCGTGCTCTGGTGCCTGGTATAGGACGCTTCTAGCTACAGAGGGGCCTCGCACCCTCCTGGGTCTTTCCAAGCTGGCCCCAAGTTTGGCTCCATGGTGGCCCTGGTCCCCTCCTCACCATGGCCATGGCCCTGCTCTCCTTACCTTCTCTCCATTGCTTGCCCCCAGCCCCTCAAGAACTGTGTTCCTGCTCCTAGGCTTCTCAGGCTCATTCACTGCTTCCCTTGCATCTGTACAAAGGGTCGTGGTGCTTCCTCTCGGGGCTGGAAGACCCACCCTGGCCTTGATCCTCACGTGCTTCTATCAGCAGCTGCACGTCACATACACCTACAGCTCCTTGCCAACAGGAAGCTGGGTGGGTGGGGGGTTGGGCTCAGGCCACGATCAGTGATCAGGAAACTAAATGACTGAAGGGATGCGCAGCTGTGATTTCACCCAGGCAGTGTGACCTCCACGCCCCACTCTGAGGCTCCAGGTCCTGCCTGCTCTGACCTGGCTGGGGAAGGGACCCTGTGTGTGGAATTCAGCAGTCTGCCTGGAAGTCACCCGTGCCTGGGGGCAGATGCTCTCCCCAGCCTGCAGCAGCAGTGGGGCAATGTGCCCGCAGAGCAGGCCCACACCTGTCAGCAGGCAGCGCTGCCCCCCACGGAGATGTCTGTCAGGGCCTCGCCCTGCTGATGCCAGCTACAGAGCAGGGCAGGCGTTCACAGCAAGGCCAGTGTGGCCAGCGTTGCTCATGCACCATCCTTGTTGCCCGGCTTCTGGAGAAGGCATCAAGCATGTGGCCTGAGTGCCTGCGGCAGAGCGGACATGGGAAAGAGGCCTGCCTGCAGGTAGCTCTGCACAAAGGGCAGAGGCCGGCGCTGCAGTGGGGCGAGCAGGCCAGGCCAGAGGGCTCAGTGTGGGTGCCGGTGCCCACAGGGCCCGCCCCCTGCGCCACGCTTCGCCATGCGGGATTGAGCGCCTCATCTCCCTGCTTGCCGGAGTCCCCAAGAACTTTCTGCACATGGGCAGGTGTCTGTGTTTTATGTGAACCATGTTTCCATGGTAAATAGATTTTCAGACTTCCCAAAGGACAGACAGTGTCACCAACAGCAGCGCGGAGCCTCTAGCTGCCTCGTGTTTGAAAGCGTTAAAAATGAAGACAACATTGACATTTGGGGTTGTAATGTGACGGAATTACAGTCTTTTAAAGGCAAGAACCACTTATCTACACTACATGTAATATTCAGTGTTTTGTTCACTTGTCTAATTGGATTAAAATATTTAGCTCCCTTTAAAATCTTGATTGTGAATTTATATTGCTAAATGTAATGTCTGACTCAGGAAGCAGTAAGTGGAACAAATGTATCTGAAGCCATATACAATTCAGCTTAGTTTTCTTCCATGATTCTTCTGAAAAGATTCCCTTTCGGACAGTGAACTGAGAACAGCAGTGCAGGCCTGGCTTCACCAGAGCCTGAGAGCTGTGCGGGATTAGCTGAGCGCAGGTCGCCTAGTGCCGAAACACAGTTAAATGGCCCACACTGGAGTTAGTGGCCAAGTTTCCCAGAGGCTCCTGAGACCCTTATGCTGGAACACAGCACCTGGGGTCTTATGTCATTCCTTAAAACTACTCAGGCAGCAGGGAGTTAATGACATTTTAGCTGCATATGTTCAAGTTTATTTTAAAAAAATATGCAAGTCACTTTGGTTGACAGTGTCTTGTACACAGTTTTGAAAGAATCAGGGCAAACTTTAACAGAGTCAGTTTTTATTTGAAAAATATTTTCTGGGAATGTATCAGTGTTTATTTTTGAGACTGACAATTCGGGTGAAAATCAGGATAAAAACAACAAAACAACAATTTGGTTGAAATCAAATTGTTTGTTTTCATCTATTTAGAATTCTTTCCAAAAATTCTTGGATCGGGAGGAGGCTTTGTGATGTATTTTATTCAGTGTATTTGCTATTCTATTCAGGCACCACCTGTCTTGCAGGTAGCTAACTTCGTGGGAGCCCGGAAGTCAGCTGGGCAAAGACCTGGGTCTCCAGGAAGGGCCACCGGGCCCCCCTGTCCTCATAAGCGCAGCTCCTAGTCCAGACTGAGCCCTCCCGGCCCCTGCTCACCAGCCGGCCTCTCTTCCCCTCCACAGCCTGTGTCTGTTTCTCTTGCTTGTTTCTCAGCTCCATTCTATGAGTCCTTTGGTGTAAGGAGATAATGCCGATGATCTTCAATATAATCACATATGGCTGCTGGATCCATGCACAAGTTTAAATCAAATTAGAAAGTACATTCACTGCCAAGAATGCTTAAAAGTCATAGGGCCAACTGATTAACCACTGACAAGTCAGCTTCCGACTCTGTTTTCTAAACTGTAAGTGATTCATACCCAGGCCCCGGGAGGGAATCCCTCCCCAGCCTGAGTACAAGGACGGAGCCACCGCCACCATCACCGCCACCAACACCGCCCATCAGCTGCGCGTGCCCATTACCGAACATGAAGGCCACCCCTCACTGGGTGTTCCTGGGTGTCCTGTGGACAGTTCCTTTCTGTTCTCTCCCCTGTCCTGGCGCCATGCTCCCTAAGGACAAACTCCCACTTCCTGCCCAGCTGCCTGCCCCTTTCCTGAGCAGATGTACCTGGATGGAGCCCCGACCCTGCTCAAGCTGTTGGGTCTGGCCTAAACCCTGGGGACACGGGCCTCTACCCAGTTGCCAACCTGTGGCCAATGCTGTCTCCCAAGAGCGGGTCCTCTGAGCCCGGCCATGTCTGTGTATCTGTGGGAGACAGCGTAACCCCACAGATCTCAGTGGATCCTGTCACAGACAAGTGGGGTCAGTGCTTCCCTTACTCTGCTCTCCGTGAGGGTGGTCACAGCTATTTCAGGACCTAAAGCTTTTTCTAGGAGTTCCCCGGACACACAGCAAGGCAAGCAGCCATGTGTCAGTGTCTGCCGGTCCTGCACTGACCAACCGCCAGCCGCATGAGCTCGGGGGCCAAGCAGGGCCCCCTCGGCACAGGCTGTTGGGGTCAGCAGGACGTGGCCGCGACTAGGGGGCAGCCAGATGCTGGGGTGCGTGGCATTCAGAACTGAAGCAGAGCCTGGGGCATAAAGGAGCCTCCGAGGCAGCCAGACGCTTCCTGTGAGAGGCCGCAGGCCACCGAGCGCCCCAACGAAGGAGGCAGCGATTGGAGGGGTGTGACTCAGCTTCCGAGCAGCTGCCTGGGCCAGAAAATATCCATTCTCTTTTGGGTATTGAGTGGACAGGGAGTTTTAGAGTTTAACATGCAAAATTAAGCCATTATGCTTAATTCATCCAGACTGAGAAAATGGAAGCCTTTAGCGACACCAGCCCCAAACCGGAGATGAAGACAGCTGTAAACCTCAGATGCCCGCAGTCTGTCCCGGGGAAGGCGTTGTGGCCGACGGCCAGGAGCGGCAGGCGGCAGCTTCCCGGAAATACCTGGCTGGGTCAGCGTGGGCCGAGAGCGCAGGGACATCGCGGGCTGGGCTGGAGGGTGAGGCCAGGGCAAGAGGCCTGCCTGCCACGGCACAGCGCGGCCTCTGCTGCCCGTGCTGCTCTGCTGGGGAGGCGGACGCTGCCGCTAAATTTCTTTCGTCAGGCTCCTCTTAAAATAAGTCCAAGTGTCATATGTGAATGTGAAAGGCCCCTTTAGAGAGCAGCCAGGTGGGCCGTGTCAGGTAGCCCAGGTGGGCAAGTCGCTTCTGTCCCTTTGAGCAAGGGAAGAAAGACCTGCTAGCTTTCCAGAGGGGTTTTCTGTTTTAGGCTTGGAGGTTTCTGAAGATGCCCTCAGTGCAAATGCTGCGACTCATTTGGTGATCGCCAGCTTTTCAAAGCCCTGGAAGAGGCTCCTCGGCGTCGGTGATTGGAGTTTAGAAAGTTCCAGAAGCAGTTGTGGGGCGTGAGAAGCAGAGCCCATGTCCCAGGGACCTCGCGGTGCCCACACTTCCTCCGAGCTTTTACCTGGCCCGCAGCCTCAGAGCTGGATCCCTGAGGCCAGCAGTCAGTCATGCCATGTGTGACAGGAGCCTCATTACCCATGAGAGGTACCCTGAGCTGAGCTGGGCTGGGCCACAGCTGGCAGTGCCAGGGCCCCCTCAAGACCTGCCCGCTTGGAGGTTGAGGCCCACATTGTGCAGGCCAAGTGGTTGGCGGTGGTGTAGGACAGTATTTTACCTTCCCCGGCAGTCACCTCCTGGGTCGCCAACGGCGGGCAAAGAGGAGAAATAGAGCCCATGTCTCCTCAGGCTAAGTCTGTTAGACCCTCCTGGTGGTGCTCACCATTTCCAACTTCCTTTTCATAATCTTGCAGTGCAGGTGGGGAAACTGAGGCACAGAAGAGTCACATTACGTGGCCAGGACCCTGCCACACTGCCACTATCTAGAACCATGTTCTGGTTACCCACACTTAGGCTGTTCCCAGACCTGGTGTCTCCCACAGGATGTCCCCCAGGGGCTTCTCGGGGTCCTGTTCCGATACACACTGCTGGCTGGCATGGGGCACCTGGCCCGTGTTTCACTGTCACATACGTCACATCTCGGACACCTGCTTCTGTGATGTGGGCTCAGACCCGCAGCTGGCACCTTCTTCCCAGTGGCCTTGAGGCAGGGACAGCGGGGATGGCAGGGCACCACCCACTGTGGCTTCTGCCCAAGGACAGGCACCCGCTGTGCTGCTACATGGAACAAATGGCTGCTCTGGGGCCCTCGGTGGCTGCGGAGTGGGGAAAAGCAGCGAAGGCCGTGACAACAGCTGCATGCCGGCCATCAGGACGCGGTCACCTTCAAAGGTGACTGGGAGAGTTTCTCGGCATTTCCATCCCAGATGCTGCCCCCCAACAAACCATCGCACGTACTCACTGCAGGGTCCTGGGGCCTCGCAAAGAATGGGCAGATGCCACCGGGAGCCACACGGCACCTCTGTTTCCTAATAATTGCTAGGCTAGGCAAAAAGCACAGCCTCTCTGACAGCAGATTACAACTTTGAAGGAAACAGGATTTTACGCTCCAGGCTCCAAGCTCCCCTAGATGCTTCCTTTGTAATCTAACCAGGACAGGGAAAGCCAAGGGTGTCGAGTCAGGCTTGGGTTCCATTAGTAGTTGCCCCCCTCGCTAGCTGCCTAGGCTCGAGCCTCAGTTTCCCTATCTGCAAAATGGAGATGATCATGTCATCTCACTGGCCTGTTCCAGGAGAAGTGAGCAAGTGGATGACAGCCAGGCTCCGGCCTCTCCCAGCGGATTCAGGATGAGGCCTCTGGGTTGCGCCCACCTGTCCTTCTCGTGCATCACACCACCACCACACAACACCCCTACTCCTGGCCCAGTGTGGCCAGGTGACCCAGGGACCTGGGTCTGTCGGGACCAGGCTCAGCTCAGGACTTGGTATCTTCCCGCACCATCTGTGCTCCTGAGCTGAGCTGACCAGGTGATGTGGGGAGCCCAGCTGTGGCCCCCACTGGCAATAGAACCGAGAGCCTGTGTGCATGCCCACCCCTTGCTGGGGAGCCCCATACCTGGGCCCGCAGCCGGTCCACCTCCTCCGATAGGCTCTGTCTCTCTAGCAGAAGCTGGTTCTGCCTGCTGAGCAACTGTACCAGCTGCTGCGCTGTGGCCTGGCTGTGCTGATCCAGCTGCCTGAGCCTGGGGAAGAAGAGAAGCAGGCAGGCACAGTTAGAGATGGAGTTGGGACTTGGGGGCTCGGAGAGGGCGGCTGCTCATGCAGACAAAGGAAGTGATTGTTCTTGCTGTGGCTTTGGGTCAGGACTTTCCTTTGGACCTGTGCTGAGGCAGCACATGTGGTGGCTGGCATGGAAGAGGAAGGCTGCACCTTCTAGAGCCAGGAGACTGAGACAGGGAGAGACAGGGTCCCCACCCCTGTCCCGCAAAGGCCCTACCCTGTGACCTACCTCCTACCTAGCTAGCAGTGTCATTGCTCCGTACTAGAGTCTCAGCCCAGACACCAAGCATTCAGCATGCAGGCTGCAGAGCCAGTCAAGCTCCAGCCCAGCAGTGTGCACCCCAGGGGCACCTGGGCCAGAGCTGAGGCCGCAGCTCTGGCCTTCAGTGGAGGCTCTGTACCACTTATAAGCGGAATGGCTGTGGAGCAAATGTGAGCCTTCCCAACATGCTGCCCGCCACATAATTTAGGACAGAGAGGGAAAACTAAAGCGAAACTCACAGGCAGAGGTCAAAAGGGGAAGCCTAGTGCCTCCTTGTGCAGCTGGACCCAGCCCTGGCCGGCTGCACAGACAGCAGCCCTGGCTGGAGAGGGGGGTTCAGGATGGAAACATGCATCTAAGGGTTTTCCTTATTAATCACCCGTCAATCACGAGCACTGCACTGCTGACCAGATGTCCTTAAAGACAGCAAATTTGTCACTGCTGATGGCCTCCCCCAAGACCTGCAAAATCGCTCAAACTGTAGCCCTCATCGGTCCACAGACAGCTGCCTCCAGTCAGCCAGCCCCTCACCCTGGACACAGAGGCTTCAGATTAACTGCAGCAGTGCCCAGCACTGCTAGCTGTGCCCTCCCCATGCTGGCCTCAGACTCCTGGGCTCAAGCTGTCCTCTCCCTCCTCCTGGCCCTCCTCCTTTTTCTCTTCCTCCTCCCCTCCTGTTCTCCCTCCTCTTCCTCCTCCTCCTCCTCCTCCTCCTCCTCCTCCCCTGCCCACCAGGTGCTAAATACAAACAGCAGTTGAAGGCATAAAGAGGAAGGGTCAACACCGCAAAGGCCTGTGAAGGCCCATCCTGCTTAGGAGGAAGCTGTCCCCATGCACAGAACACTTCCAATACACAGGGCAAGCACCTAACAATGTATTAACTTCAGTGCTCACAATTCCACAAGGCATCCAGGCACTAATTAGTATCTCCCTTTTAAAGATGAGTGAACTGTGGCACAGCGCGGATAAATGACTAGGCCAAAGCCACCCAGCTGGCACCTGGGATGTGCAGAGAGGAGCCTGTGCTGATCTGTTGGGGGTCAGGGCTGCAAAGGGGTGGACTTACTTACCCCTTTGGTTGCAAAATTTTGGTTGCACAGCAGGCCATGCTGGCGGCTGTGGGCTGGCAGGGGAGGGAACACAGCCCAGTGGAGCTGGGAGCCCAAGAAGCAAACAGAATCTGTCCTGTTGACCAAAAGGCACCATAGCCAGAGGGTGAGAGGAGGGGCAGGCCTGGGCAGGGTATACACAGGAAGCCCATGGGACATGTAGACATCACTTCTGCTTCAGGCTTAAGGAGCAGCTGGGCTGCAGATCCAGTTGTGCAGGCCAACACTGAAGGGAGGAGAACTTGGTCTAGGGCAAGGATTTTCCCCATGGGATTCACCAGCCTGTAGCTTCACAGACTCCCAGTGAGAACTTCTACTGCACTGCAGGGAGAGGGCCCATACACCGGCGTTACTGAGCAGCCACATTGGAGGCCCAGGAAAGGACAGCAAAACCGCAAGACATAGATCGCCAGGAGGGAGAAGGAAAAGCACGAGACACTGATGGAGGAGTTGGAGCTGCTTTTGTGAAATCCACCTCACACACACGAAAGTGCAAAAGGAGAATATTCTGGTGAGGACCTGGGCTGAGGGCACAGTGGCCACAGGGAGAGCAGAGGACAGGAGGGACTAAACCAGCAGGGAAGAGATCTGGAGGAGAGAGGACCCCAAGGCAGAAGATGGGCCTTCCAGGGGGAGAAGGTGCCTGTGACAGGTGACCTAGCCTCTGTATCGCCTCTGGTTGAAGCCAAGACCATTTGCTGAGAAAAAGTACAAGACGCTAGCTGGGGCTGAGCTAGGAGGCGTAGGGCCACCTCAGCCTCACCCCTGGCACCTCTGCCCTCCTGTCCTGCCTAGTATTGCTCCTGGGGTCTCCACAAGGGGAGGAGCCCTGTCCAGTGGCCAGGTCTCAGTGACAGTCCTTCTGAGACTGCACTCTCTTATTCTGTTCAAGTTTTTTGTTCCTAGCTGTGTACTCCCCATGGCATTGAACCGTGGATGTGACAAGTGGCACTGACATCGCAGGGCCTCTGTGGTATGTGGGAGTTGCGCCCCCAAAGGAGCCCCATGCAGCTTGCAGTCCGCACAAAGGTGCATGCAGCAGGACAGGGTAGAACACTCGCATTTCTGAGCTCAGCCCCTATTTCAAGCCCCTCCCAGGCCCACATCTGATTCCTTTCCAGCAGGGCTTCAGCCCCTCCCAGTGACTGCTAGGTGTGTGTGGCATCTGCACCATGGCCCCAGGTGACTGGGCTCCCACCCCTGCCCCAGGTCTCTTCCCTCGCCCCATGAAGTGCCATGCTCCCTTGCCCTCTCAGGGCACACACGTCAACAAGCCCACAGAGCAGTCACTCTGGGCAGTGCTGCGCCCATGCTGCAGTTGCTGCCTTACTCTGGGGCACAGCCATGCCTTCAGCACCTGCAGTTGTACAGCTGCCATCCTGAGCAGGACAGGGACCCTGTGGAAGAAGACCGGCTGTCCCTGCTGCCGGGCTGCACCCTTCTTTGCCAAGGCATTGCCAGGCATTTCAGGCTCAGAAGGGTGTGGTTACCATGACAACAAAGAGGCCCAGGTTCCTAAAGATACAAACACTGAGGAAGGTACCAGGGGTACCCAGGTGTGCGGGCTGGGCACATCTCTATGGGTCCAACGGCGATCCTTGCAGCCACACCCCACAAGTGTTACCAGAACCAGCACTGTACAAAAATATGCAAGACTTCAAGAGAAGATGGAGCAAGTGGTGAAATACAAAACAACTTTATAGAGCTGAGTGGGCTGGGGAAAATAGCTTATGCAAAACAGAAGTGGTGCAAGCTGCCAGCTCTGGTCCTGTGCTTCAGACATTCATTTGCTATGAATACTGTGAAAGCAAGTGAATACATATATTTAAATTTTTTATGTTGTATGTGATACATACAAAATATATGCAGTGTATAAGTAAGTTATGAGGTATAATAACCAAATGAGCACTTGGGGACCTAGTTTGGTGCCACAGGGCCACTTTGGAGCCTCCAGGGACAGTGCGCTGCCCCCGGAGTGCCCAGCCTCCTCCTGTGCCTAGTTCAGTTGGACACCTGAGTTTCACTCAAGCATTTCACCTGGGAGCTTCCTGTGGGCTATCATGAGTGTCCGTCTTGGGGTTTTCTTTCTGGTGGGCAGTTGTGCTGAAATGTCTTTTGCTCTGGATTGTTTTCAGACCAGACCCCCTTCCCTATGGTACTCCAAGGCAAAGTCCTATCCCCAAGGCTTCTCTCTCTTCTGGTTCCTAAAGTGCAGAGGGGAGAAGAGGTGGAGCCATGACTACTGAAGCCCCATCCCTGCCCTGCCCCTTTACCGTCTCCTGCTCCTTTATCAGGTGTCTTGGCTGCTCCTAACTATGCTGCACAAATGCCCCCTGCTGCTGCTACTACCCATGCATGTGTGCACATACACACGCACACGCACACACACACACACACACACACACACAGTGTCCTCTGATTTCTGTCCCTGTGACCAACTCCAGGTCCTGGGCCTTTAAGACTCTGCCTATTGCCCCATCCTTGCAAAGTCCCCTGGGCCCCTCCCCTGCACAAGGTGTGACTCTGCGTGGCTGGCCATGGTGGCCATGGTGGCTGTTGTCCCTGCCTCTCACAGCACCGCCATGTTCCAAAGCAAGGACAGGCTCCTGTTCAGGTTCTGTCTCTGGCACTCAGCAAGCGACTTAATGATGCTTGCAGAAAATCTAGGCCCTCTGATTTCATCCCGTGGTCAGGCGTGCTTTAGGATCTCATAACTTTGTTCTAGAAAAAAACAGCATATAAACTAAATAATTGTATGCCAATGGAATCTGCCATTTAGGTTAAAGAACTGTATTATCAGTGCATGAGTCTTGGACTTAACAGCTAGGGGTAGGAATTCAAAATTCTACCACAAATCAGCTATTTTACCCTGTCCCAGAGGCTGGATCTCACTCAACTCAGGTTCTGCACTCATGAAATGGACAGAACAGCATGGAGTGGGCTGGGGCATCACATGCCTTTCAGTAAGCCCTCCCTGGGCAGCACCCATGAATGCTGAGGTGTGTGAACCCGGGAACATTTGGGTCCGCAGTATGAGACACACACAGGGAGTTATCTGTAGAACAACTTGTGTGCCTCAGTTTGGGGCCAAAACAGCCAACTGTCCCAACGGAATCTCCCTTCTGTCCCTCAGACATTTCGGCATGAGCCATGAGAACTGAGGCACCTTCTGGGATCACCTGGAATCTTGGTTTCCTGACAGAAAATCAATGGGGTGAACGAGCACCGAGGTCAGTGAACTTCACACCACAAGCCAGATCCAGACTGGGCAAATCCAGTGCCCATTTTCAAACCCTCTATGAATTGAAAATGGTTTTTATATTTTCAAGAGACTAAACAAAGTACAAAAGGGCCTAATATGTGAACACTGCGAAATCCGGCTTCGGGCGCCCCTGTAGATCCTATCGTGGAGACACAGCCCTCCGTATTTGAGTATTATTATGCTCTGCTTTTACACCAAAATGGCCATGTCACTTTGACAGAGCCTAAAATATTTACTCCCTGACCTTCTGGAGAAAAAGCCTGCCAGCCTCAGGCCAGAAGAGGACTGTGTTTTCTTTGAGCTCTACATTTCCACAACATCATGACTTTA